AAAAAAAAAAAAAGGACAAATCAAATTTACAGGAGGGGATCTTCAAGGTTGATCAGATGGCGCCTCAGTACTCGGCGGAGCCCTAGATCGGAGAGGCACCAGAGGGTGATTATTCAGAGCATCATCACTCGGCGGAACCCCAGGAGGAGGAGGCACCAAAGGTTGATCATTTGGAGCTTCATCACGCGGTACAGCCCCAGAAGAAGAAGGCAAATGCTGCTGGAACAAACCCACAAACCTCTGATGATCAAGTAAAATCTGACCATCAGATTCCTGCATCTGGTCAATCTTCCTCTTCATGTTTGTCGCATAGCTATGTGCGAGCTTATGCAACTGTTTATTCTCCTGCTTGAGCCCTCTAATCTCCTGTTTGAGACTCATCACTTCAGCCGCCAATGATTCAACTTGACGGGTTCGAGCAAATAGGCGTTGGGCCATATTAGACACAGAACCTGCACACTGCACACTGAGAGCCAGAGAATCCTTAACAGCCAACTTATTAGACCGTTTGGAAAGTAGTCTGTTATCTCTGGGAGTGACAAGGTTCCGGGCCACCACCGCAGCGGTCATATCATTCTTCACCACCGAATCCCCAACGGTAAGAGGACCAGTAGGGGATATGAAGGATGGGCGCCATATGTTGTCTGGAGAAGGCGGGACTGCCTCTTCACCAAGGTTCAAATCAAAACGACGGTCGGAGGGCCCAGACATTTTCAAAGGTGTTGAAGAAAGAAGAGGTCGGACAAATTAAGATCTTAGAAATGCAAGAGGGGAGTTTCTACAAGCGAAGATTCAAGTGTGCTTTGAAACGAACTGTGTGCCTCTATAAAAATGAGCACTCGACGGGATTTCAGAGATCAAAGAGGTGAGCTCAGAGTTCGAAAATGCCGATTCAAAAATCGAAGAGGCAAGCTCAGAAATCGGAGAAGCATCTTGCTTTTCCAGACGCGTTAGCACCCGTCACGCGCAAACTCAGCTTTGCGAAAATCACGGGCAATTTGTCGAAGCGCCGATCCCAGATATCGAAGAGGCGCCAGTCTTTTTCAGCCTCGTCAACACCTATCACATGCACACTCAGCTTGATGAAAATTACGGACAATTTGTCGAAGATTTCTGATAAAGAAGAAAGCACGAGAAGCCATACTGATCAATCACGCATTGGTTACCGACACGAGTAAAAGAATAGTACCTCTACAGGTACTAAAGAAATTCCTATAACTGTCCACCTTCACCTTCCATAGCAAGGCAGACATACAGAGCCTTTCTTCATCTCCAAAAAATGCTTTCCCAACGAAGCCTCTCGAGTCATTCAATGTTTTTTATTCCTTGGGGTACCTCTGCAAGCCAATGACTCCAAAGCAAAAGTATCTCATATCACCAGGGTAGAAAGCAAGAGTATCTCATATCATGCGTTCTCCCTGTCCTTTCCTTTGTCCTTGTTCTTACCTACAAAGACAAGGATAAAGAAAACAATATGCCGGAACTTCCACTCAAACTCGGGTAAGGAACCGACTGCTTGGAACCCTTCCCTGATTGCCTACCTAGCACTGCTCTCGAGTACTCGCCTTCCACTGCTGCTGTACTTTCAAAGAAGCTGCCACATCTACTTGGAGGACAGATAAGGCAAGTGAAAATGATACCTTGCAGCATGTGGAGACAAGGTGCAGAAGGAACAAGCAGAGAAGAATGCGGTCTGCACGATCAACTCAGCAGAAGGAGTCCGAACTGAGGAACTCGAGAAGCTGCCATATCTGCCTGAAGAAACAAGCAGAGAAGAATGCAGCATGCACAGTCAACTCAGCAGAAAGAGTCCGAGATGAAGAACTCGAGAATATGTCGCATCTGCCTGAGGACAGTGAACTTGTTTTGACCCTCAAATTCTTGGGTCGACTTACTAGGCGTTGTGGGCTGCACGTGCCGATTCACCACCCTTGAATCGAATCCTTAAAGATCAAGTCATCAACTGGAAGAAAAGCCCATCAATCTTGAAGATCATACTGTTGACCAAACTGCTCAGGTGTGAATTAGAAAGATTGAACAAAGAAACAGGTTGTCACCTTCACCTCGTGCCTGCTTGCCATGTGTTCGAGTCAACCTTCAAGAATCAAGCCTCAACGGCCCTTGAAGAAGTTTCCGGCCAAATTCAAGATCAAGCCTCGACGACCCTTGAGGAAATCACAAGTCCGATTCAAGATCAAGCGTTCACCATATTTGAATCAAATCCAGTTCAAGATCAAGCTGTGGAAAATCAACAATTGGAGGAATCCAGAAAATCCTCCAACCCAGTTCAAGATCAAAGCTGTGGAAAGTCAACAAGCGCAACAAAATACGTGCCGATTCACCCACTACCAAAGCCAAAGATCATCTACCACATGAAGCTCCTTGTGGTCCAATTTCAACCTTCAAGATCAAGTCTCGACGGCCCTTGCAGAAATTTCAAACAAAAGTTCAAGATCAAGCCTCGACGGCCCTTGAAGAAATCTCCAGCCCTTCAAGATCAAGTCTCGACGGCCCTTGCAGAAATTTCAAACAAAAGTTCAAGATCAAGCCTCGACGGCCCTTGAAGAAATCTCCAGCCCAATTCAAGATCAAGCATCGATGGCCCTTGGATCGACATCTACAGTAAGGGACTTCAAAACGCATCTCCTACACGTGACAAGCACATGTATACGACGTGCCTTGAAGTGGGGGCATTTGTAGACATCGAAATTTCGTAAATAAATGCTGACCGATAAATCAAAGTGTCAACGCTCATGTATTACATAAATTTTACACGTAGCGCGTGACTCAACGAAAATTGAAATGAGTTGGAAGAGTCATCAAATAAGACACGTGTCAACACCTGGCAGAAACGACTTATTTCATCTGGGATATTATATTCAAAATTAGGCCTTGGAAAATTCTATAAATACAAGCCCATTTCATTCATTTGAGGGACCAAAAAAATCATTAGGCAAAAACTCTTGAAGCTCTGAAGCTCTGAAACTCCGAAGCTCTCAAGCATCCAGGTTCCCGAAGAATCAAGAAAGCGTTCTTCGTTCATCGTTCTTCCAAGATCAAGCCCGACGGCCCTTGGATCAACAATCATCCACCTTCAAGCCCAAGCCTCAACGGCCTCTTGAAGAAAGCGTTCATCGTTCATCAACTGTTCATCCTCAAGGATCAAGCCCCAACGGCCCCTTTGGATCGACAAACATCAACAAATCCGCTCATTCGCTGTTCATCAAGCCCAAGCCCCGACGACCCTTGAAGAAAGCGTTCATCGTTCATCACTGTTCTTCGAGATTAAGCCCAAAAGCCCTCGAAGATCCATTCAAGCCCAAAAGCTCTCGAAGATCCGTTCGTCACTGTTCTTCGAGTTCAAGCCCAAAAGCCCTCAGAAATCCGTTCATCACTGTTCTTCAAGATCAAGCCCAAAAGCCCTTGAAGATCCGTCAATCACCATTCTTCAAGATCAAGCTCAAAAGCCCTCGAAGATCCGTTCATCCTCGTTCATCCAAGATCAAGCCTCGACGGCCCTTGGATCAATCGCACATCCCACAAATCAACACCTTACGGAGATCGAATCAGAGGATCAAATTAAAGAGAGATTGTAACCCAAAATCATCAAACACTAAATATTTGTTTGTGCGCGTTGTTCTTGTCTCTTTCGTTTCAGGAATTTTCCGTGTTCACAGCATCATCTGTAACTGGCTCTATTGGGGACTAGAAAAGTGGTAGATATAGTCCATTTTAGAGCTCTCAGAAGAATATGCACAAACACCTGATATGCATAAATCAAGATTCGAAGAACCACACAGAAACATGGATCAAGAACCCTAGAAATGAAGAAGAATTCGTCAAGAGAAGATCAGAGAATGAGGGCGGAAGTAGAAGATTCAAGATTGATGAACCGTCAAGTTGTTAAGCTTTTCCGTCGATTGATACCATGTAAACATAGATAGAGGTATCTTGCGGAGAAAGATATTCAAGCAAGAAAAAGAAAGAGAGATTGAGAGAAAGAGATTTAGACAAACAAAGTGGATCTTTTACTAATGATTTCAGAATGATTACAAGGGAGTTATCTACAAGGATATATATCCAAACTACATTGCTTACAGACTAAGCTAACTTTTGGCTCACAGATTAATAACACTTGTCTAACTAACCATAGGATTAAAAGATGAATACTGTTAACATTCCTCTCAATCACATGATTGGATTTTCCAAGCCTGGGATTGAAACTGTGAGTTTGAAACAAAGGAGCAGACAATCCCTTAGTAAGTATATCTGCAAACTGCTCATTAGAAGCCACAAAATGAACCTGCAGAATCTTCTTACAACCCTTTAACAAATTGAATATCAATCTCGATATATTTAGTGCGTTGATGCAGAATGGGATAATAAGCAAGAGCTATAAAAGAAAGGTTGTCATAGAACAAAGTATGTGGAGAAGAAAGATCAATATGCATAAAAGCAAGAAGTTGTTTAATTCATTCTATCTCAATTGCAGTAGAAAAAAGTGCCCTATAATCAGCTTCAGTGGATAATCTAGACACAGTATTTTGCTTCTTTGAAGACCATGATATAGGATTAGATCCTAGAAAATAACTAATCCAGTTGTAGACCTCCTATCATTATGGTCACCTGTCCAATTAGCATCACTAAAAGCATACAAATCCAAATCCCCTTTGCCAAACTAATCCCAAAATTCTGGGTGCCTTTCAAATATCTAAGTATCTTTTTTAAAGCAACAAAGTGGATTGCGTAGGACAATGACAAACTTGATGCAAAATATATACATATATATATATTGGGTCTATTATATGAGGCTGGATTATTAAATACTTCTATATAAGACTGGATTATTAAATGGTTTCCCATCACCCCTTAACAATTTGTTACAAGGCAAGCATGGGTTGCACAAGGTTCAACCATTTGTTATTAAATGGTTTCCCATTCATCTTTTCAAGATATATGTTTCGTCGCTTATCCACTAAAGTATTCGAGTTGGGTATACTTTTGAACCTTAATACGTGTCAACATTTAAGCCAATTGTTAGTTCGGTGATCTCTGTCTATATATAGAAGGAAGACAAGAGAGATGCAAACCAAATAAGTAAATTGAGAGTTAATGATACTGAAAATGGAAAACATGACAGAGAAGCTCCTTTTGTTTTACCTTTTATTTATGTGCGTAGCAAAAGCTAGTACCTCAACCCCGTTCCCAATTCACAACCAAACTCAAAGTCCAAAACATTTTGTGCTTATACATGGTGCTTGTTATGGAGCATGGAGTTGGTATAAGGTGGCGACTCTCCTGAAGAACTCAGGTCACAATGTCACAGCTCTAGACTTGGGAGCATCCGGGATCAACCCGATCCAGGTAGAGCAACTCCCTTCGTTATTGGAATACGTCGACCCTTTGACTAAGGTCATGGTGTCTCTACCACCAAATGAAGAGGTTATCCTTGTGGCTCATAGCTTGGGTGGAGCCGTCATATCTATTTTCATGGAGAGGTTCCCTCAGAAAATTGCTGCTGCGGTGTATGTTACGGCTGTCATGTCTGGTCCTACTCTCAATTACTCAACTATATTTGCAAAGGTAATGAATTTCATATATACTAAAAGTTCTGCTATATACAAAAATCTGAATAAACTGATTGTTCTCTAAAATAATAACCTTGGTTGATAATAAAATCTTCTGGTCCCAACTTGGGTCAATGTATTAAGAAAATAATCTCGCTAAATGCATAAGATAATAAATTTTCTCAAAATCCAGTGAATATATAAAATAATATTAATAAAATACAAGAAAAAAATAACACATAAAATTCATAATACATAGTATACTTAGGATCATTTCTCTAGTCATATTCACTTTCTGTTGATATTGGAGAAACCCACTCATACAATACTTTTTCTAGCTCGGAATATTTTGCTGGTTTGTGCCTTAACATTCATGTTTTTTTTTCATCTCATTCCGCACATACCATGTTGAACGTTTAAGAGTGTTTGATATTGGGATTGGTTGATAGAGATTAACTGATACTTTTGTTGAACCCATTGTTTACCAATCTTTTAATTAACAAGAAGCAAGATTATAAAGCCCCGCCCAAAATATTTATATTCAGGAAATAATTCTGATGATATGCCCAATTCAATACTTTTGTTTATTTTACTACCATTAAACACTATACTTTATTTGAATTCCTAATTACTCACAAAATCTACAAATAAAATCTACAACCAAAATTTACTTACCAAAAACATAAGACTTAATTTCATCTTATTCATCGAATTACTTTTCTTAAATCAACTTCCCAACAAATATAATTCTCGATTATTTAAGGTTGCATCTGACCCCTGTTAACTGCCTCCGTACCCTTGAGCGGGATCAAGTCTTTCGTAGTTCATCATTTCAATAAACTCCTATCACCACTACAAGTCATTACTACATACATGTAAACATAGTAACCCTTATGAGATGTATAGGCACATAGCTTCAGAACGTGAATCGTCAAATTGGTTTTGGTTTCAGTGTAGTAAGTGATAGGATATAGATATTGGTGTTTAAGATGTTGACACTTGTAATTAGATTAGAGAAGAAGTTAGTTAAGGAAGTTAGCTGTGTAAGTGTAAAACTATAAATACCTCAACACTGTATTACTTGAAGGTTAAGAAAACAGTTCAGAAATATTCATCTTCTCTCTAACTTCTTCTTTCTCTTTCTCTCTCTCTCTCTCTCTAAGTCTGTTACATTCTTATTCTTCCTTATTGTGTGAGATTGATCATAGTTAACATGGTATCAATCGCCATTGTTGCCTGCGCATAATCTTCGATCCTCTGCTTCCGCTCCGATTCTGATTGAAGGTGTATTCGTTCTTCTTGATTTGTGTCTGGTTGTTCTCTGCGTTTCTTCGTCTTCTTCTGATTTGGATTTCTAGGGTTTCTTGGGTGGTCGTGATTTTTCGTCGATCATCTTTTCTGCTTCTTTCCGTCTTGCATATCAACTGTTTGCTATAATTCCTCAGAGAGTTTTTCTGAAGAAATTTCCATGGTGACTGCAACTCAACTTCAAATTGTGCAATCTCCGATTACTGCTTTAATCTCCACAATTTCGACTTCGGTTAATGTCAAATTGGATGATTCCAATTATCTCAATTGGAATTTTCAGATACAACTTTTGTTGGAAAGCAATGGTATTATGGGGTTTGTTGATGGCTCGCACCCTTGTCCACTTCAGTTTGCAGTTTCTCCTCCTGAATCTGGCTCCTGTACTTCTGCTGAATCCGATGCATTTGTGGTATGGAAAATGCATGATCGTGCTATAATGCAATTGATCACAGCCACTCTGTCTCCGGTTGCATTGTCTTGTGCTATTGGCAGTAAGAGTTCTCAGGATATTTGGATTCGTCTGAAAGAACAGTTCTCTACGGTGTCTAAGACCAGCATTTTCCAAATGAAGTCCAATCTTCAGACGGTAAAGAAAGGGTCTGATTCGGTGTCTCAGTATCTTCACAGAATTAAAGAGGCTAGAGATTACTTATCTGCTGCTGGGGTTTATTTTGCGGATGAGGACATAGTTATTCTTGCTCTCAATGGGTTACCCTCTGAATATAACACTTTTCGCTGTGTTATTCGGGGTCGTGAGAATGTAATCTCTCTTAAGGAGTTTCGGTCTCAGTTGCTTGCTGAAGAGGTCATTGTTGACACTTCCCCAACTGCACCTTTTATTACTGCCATGGTTGCTAATACTGTCCCTCATTCTGGCAAGCATCACTCACCTAATCCTGCATCAGGGCAGTCTCAATTCTTTTCTGGAGGATATAAGCAGTTTAATGGGAATAAAAACAAAGGGAAAGGCAAGTTTCATCAAGGGGCTCGGTTCTATTCACCCAAACAGTATACTCAAACCCATGTGCTTCCTACACCAAGTCCGGGCATTCTTGGTCAATCACCAGTACCATATTTTGGTCATCCAAGTGCACCATTGCTGCCTACTTGTCAAACGTGTAATGTTGAAGGACACACTGCTCCATATTGTCAGTCTAAACCTCCTGATCGAGCTTCTTGTCAAATATGTGGCAAGCATAATCACAGCACATGGTACTGTTTTTTCAATGACAAGGGTCCTAATTTTGGTGGTCCTACCCGACAGTTCTATCCTTCTCAAGTGCAATCATCCCCATATGGTGCTTCACACTATCCTGCTCCATTTCAGCATTCATCAATGCAACCTCAGCCTTTTCATGCTCCTCAACAATCTCCTCAAGCACTGCATACTGTGATGCCTCAGTCACCATCATCACCATCTACTTCTTATTCTAATCCTCAAGTGTGGATTACTGACTCTGGTGCTACTAATCACATGACTGCCGATCTTAGTAACCTATCTTTGGCATCACCATATCCTACATCTGAGACCATTCAAACCGCCAATGGTGAAGGTTTGCCTGTGTCTCATATTGGTAGCACAGTTCTTAATGTTTCTAAACTGAATTCTGTGCATCCGATTAAGCTCAATTCTGTGCTTTATGTTCCGAAGTTGACTCAAAACTTGTTATCTGTGCACCGAATCTGTTTAGATAATAACTGTTGGCTAATCTTTGATGCTTTCTACTTCTGGATTCAGGACAAGGCCACAGGGAGGATCATTTACAAAGGACAATGCAGTAATGGTCTCTATCCCATCCCTTGTCTTTCTGCCACATCTCATTCTACACATTCAGCTCCATTTCAAGCTAAAGCATTCCTTGGTCAGCATGTTCATTCTACAACCTGGCATAATCGACTAGGTCACCCATCTAATAACATTGGTTCTTTGATGCTAAAGCAAGCTTATATTCCTTGTTCCAAGTCTTCCTTACCTGTAATGTGCTCTAGCTGTTTGGAGGGCAAGTTTTGTAAACTTCCCTTTTCCCTAAGTACCAATAAGTCTGTAAAACCTTTTGCTGTTATTCATAGTGATCTTTGGGGTCCCGCTCCTTCTATTTCCATTGATGGTTATCGATATTATGTGACCTTTATCGATGAATATACAAGACATTGTTGGCTGTTTCCATTGATCAACAAATCTGATGTCTTTGCTACTTTTGTTGCTTTCTATTCATTTGTTCTTACTCAGTTTGCAACTGCTATACAAACCTTACAGAGTGATGGAGGGGGTGAGTATGTCAGTAAGGTTTTTCAGTCCTTTCTTCTTGAAAAGGGCATTGCTCATCATCTTTCTTGCCCACATACACCCGAGCAAAATGGTCTAGCCGAGCGAAAGCATAGGCATATTATTGAAACCACTGTGACTCTATTACAAACAGCTAGGTTACCTGCTTGTTTTTGGTCATATGCCTGTCAAACAGCTGTCTATCTTATTAATCGAATGCCTTCTTCTGTGCTAGGACTTAAATCTCCTTTTGAACTTTTGTTTGGTCATCTTCCTGTAATCTCTCATCTCCGGATATTCGGTTGTGCTTGCTATCCTTTGTTAAAGCCTTATAATGCTACTAAACTACAAGCCAAGACCACCAAGTGTATTTTTCTGGGGTATGCTACCAAATATAAAGGGTATATATGTTATGAGGTTTCCAAACAGCGAGTTTATATTTCAAGACATGTTGTGTTTGATGAGGATCAATTTCCTTACACATCTTTGTTGGTTCACTCTAAAGTCTCATATCAACCTTCTTCAGTTCCTCATTTCACACTTCCTGCACCTGTGATTTCTAATGACAATGTTGTGTTACCTATGTCTCTTCCTCCTACCACTCCTGCCTCTTCCTCATCACCTGCTCCTTCTCACATATCCATCTCTCCTATCCCTTCCTCACCCCTATCTTTTCCATCCATTACTGGTTCTTCCACTACTCATTCTCCAGTCCCTGTCCCTGTGGCTCTTGTCAATGGTTCCGATACTTCTCCAGCAGCATCGTTTGGTCCTGATACTTTGCAAGTGGTGTTGGAGGTTCCACCTCTCAATTTGCATCCTATGCAAACTAGGAGCAAAAATGGTATTATCAAGACCAAAGCCTTATTAGCTACTATTCAGGAGTCTGCCTGCACTGATTTGTCTCTTATTGAACCGAATTCTTATAAAACTGCAATGAAGGATTCTACTTGGTTGCAAGCTATGCAAGAGGAGATCGATGCTTTACATAAACAAGGTACTTGGAGTTTGGTGACATTACCTTCTACAAAGAACTTGGTCGGGTGCAAATGGATATTCAAGATCAAGAAGCATTCTGATGGCACTATTGCTCGGCATAAAGCTAGGCTTGTTGCTAAAGGGTTCAGTCAAGAACCGGGTCTTGATTATGGGGAAACCTTCAGTCCTGTGGTTAAACCTACCACGGTTCGACTAGTATTGGCTTTGGCAGCTCAATTTAATTGGCCCCTTAGGCAACTCGATGTCAAGAATGCCTTTTTACATGGCATTTTGGATGAAGAGGTGTATATGACCCAACCTCCTGGTTTTGTTGATGGTGCTACTTCTCATCTTGTTTGCAAGTTGCACAAGTCCCTTTATGGACTTAAGCAAGCCCCTCGAGCTTGGAATGACAGATTTACCAAGTTTTTGCCTCTTTTGGGTTTTAAACATACTTATTCTGACTCCTCCCTGTTTGTCAAGACAGTTGAATCTGGTATTGTCATTTTTGCTGCTTTATGTGGACGATATCATTATCACAGGGAATGCAGCTGCAGCTATGCAACAGGTTATTAGTGCTTTAACCAAGGAATTTGATATCAAGGATCTGGGGGATCTGAATTTCTTTCTGGGCATTCAAATCTCTCGCACTGCACATGGCTTATGTTTGTCTCAATCCAAATATATTTTGGATCTTCTTACTAAAACTGAGATGCTTGAGTCCAAGTCATGTGAAACTCCTTGTTTGCCCTATAATCGACTTCTCAAAGATGATGGTGCTCCTTATAACAATCCAACGTTGTACATGAGTGTAGTAGGTGCACTGCAGTATCTTACATTTACAAGGCCGGATATAGCATTTTCTGTCCATCAAGTATGTCAATTCATGCAACAGCCTATGATTGCTCATTTCACTGCTGTCAAACGCATTTTGCGGTATCTCAAGGGTACCATTCATCATGGTCTCTGTTATTCCCACGGCCCACTGCAATTGAAAGCATTCAGTGATGCTGATTGGGCAGGTGACCCGAATGACAGGCGTTCTACCACTGGCATGGCTGTGTTTTTAGGCAACAATCCTATCTCTTGGTCCTCAAAGAAACAATTAACAGTTTCTCGCTCATCCACGGAGGCGGAATATCGAGCCTTGTCCTTTACTTCCGCTGAATTAGACTGGATTCAGCAACTGTTGGTCTTTCTGCAGGTTCCTCTGTCATCACCTCCGGTTTTATTTTGTGATAATTTGTCCGCCATTGCTTTGGCTTTTAATCCGGTTCAACATCAACGCACTAAGCACATTGAGGTTGATGTTCATTTTGTGCGAGAACGTGTTGCCAAGAAACAACTTTCTGTTCAGTTTGTGTCGTCTAAAGAGCAGTTTGCTGATATTTTGACTAAAGGGTTGAGTTCTCCTCTGTTTCGTACTCATTGTACCAATCTCATGATTCGAGCATCGAATCATGTGTTTGCGGGGGGATGATAGGATAGAGATATTGGTGTTTAAGATGTTGACACTTGTAATTAGATTAGAGAAGAAGTTAGTTAAGGAAGTTAGCTGTGTAAGTGTAAAACTATAAATACCTCAACACTGTATTACTTGAAGGTTAAGAAAACAATTCAGAAATATTCATCTTCTCTCTAACTTGTTCTTTCTCTTTCTCTCTCTCTCTCTCTCTAAGTCTGTTACATTCTTATTCTTCCTTATTGTGTGAGATTGATCATAGTTAACAGTAAGGCATATAGATATGTATACTTATTAAGACACCCATTTTAACATTCAAACAAAGAAAGTGATGTATAAACATGAAGCACTTAATCAAAATAGTAATCACACCGAATCGGATTTGTCAAACTATTGATATCTATACTAGCCCTAACCTTACCAACCAATATAATTTAAATACAATCACAATCAATTAATATATGCATACCCCTTTCAAATTCTATATCAAAACATAGAGCCAATAGTACATATAAAAGCAATAATCTAAATATGGTTTGATAATAATTAGATGGACTAATTGTAGTAAATAAAATAGCTTGTTTCCTTCAAAACCAATCCGATTGGATTGTAAAAATTGAGTGAGGAAGATATGCATGTACTTTGATACACATGTAGATAAAACCACCTGCATATATTTTCTCTTTATACGTAATTATGTATTTAGTATACAATCATTTGGAAAACAACCAGCTTCCTGAAGTGGACCAGTCGAAATACTTTGCCAAGGGTAGTAATACAACAATATAGCTTTCTGCAAAATACAAGTCTTCAGAAACAGGGCAATTAAACAAAACATCACTCTCGGCTTTTATACCATTCTAGGGTTTAGGCATTTGCATATATATAATACTAGTTTTGCAAACAATAGCTAATCCACGACAGATTAACCGAAAGAAATATTAATAACAATTAGCTAAACGGAAAAGATAAAGAGAGTTGGGAATATGAACCCATACTGCAGGTTGACATCCCAAACGAGAAGGATACGAATATCTTCAACTCCATTCTCTCTGCTCCTAATTAATTTATAATCCCTTCCTTCCATTTGTCCTTTCTTCTCTTTATTTTTGGGTCGACTAATGGGGAGAAACCAATAAGCTCGTAAGGCTGCTCTTCAAGACTATCTACACATCCTTTCCCAGTTCTTTCTCTTTTCCCTGGTAGTGTTTTGGTGATCAGACTCGCAGGAATCGTTCCCCATGGGTGTCCTCTCCAATCACCCCCCAAAAAAAATCAAGAGAAGAGGGAGTCCCCCCCTGGAAGGGACGCGAGTTCTTCTCCCCCCCACCTTTTTCTCGATCCTTCTCCACCTCTCTACTGCCTTTCACGTGGCATCCCCATTGCTCCAGATTTTTTTCTGGAGCCTTCCAAATTAATGACAAAATGATTATTTTGTCCCCGACTTGAATTGTTAATAACTTCTTTGTTATCATCCCGTTTCATGAACAGTTTTCACCTACACTTGTGGAATCGTCCTCTATCCAGATATGTCAAGAAATACAATAAAATATATGAGGATGAAATACGTCCTCGTAAAATTTTGTTTAATCAACTAGGGGCATTTTTATCTTTTCCCCTTATCAATAGATTTTTTTCACATAATCATATATTTTAAATTTTTTTAGGGTATTACAAAGATGCTCATTTTTAAACTCGCACATGCTCTCCTTATCCCATCACTCAATTTAGATTTTTTTATTCCTTTCAAATGAGATGTCATAGATGAACAAGTAGTTATGATAATTGTAATGATTAGGAGTTAAGAGATTACTTATATATCACGAGAAATCAAGTTCCCATCACTCTTTTTTTTTATTATATTGATTGAAATTTTATTTCTTTTTTAATTTTTGATCAAGTTCTTTAGAATTTATCCATGTCATTAGTTCAATAATAAAATATTTACATGCTAACATTTTTAAATGTTATAATTAAAAATTATTTATTTTTTTTCAAATATATTCATTTAGTGTTGGAAACGTTACATTTGATATATTGAATTTGTCTTTATTTGTTAATTAACTAACAAATAATTTTGTTAAAAAATGTATAGGTTACCAAAAGATTTGATTTTATGGACTCTCAATTTAGATATGATAACGGGACCAACAACCCTGCAACCTCCCTTCTCTTTGGGCCTAAGGTATTGGCGACAAGTTTTTTGCAGCTCTCACCACAACAGGTAAGTCTTAAACTTAATTAAAGTGTGTCTATTGCAGTATATAGGATCCCTATCGTGTTCTCTTAATTAACACACACCAGAAAGATAAAGTGTAGTGTAAGAGTAGAGCGCTAATAGTTTCCAATTATAAGTTGGGGCTTTCCAATATTGGTTAGCTAATATTTTTTTGTTTTATGTTTGTAATGGACAGGATTTAACTCTAGCGTTATCGTTGGTGAGATTTTCTCCTTTATATAATTATGATCTAATAAAACTCACGGAGGAGAATTATGGATCAGTTCGTAGAGTATTCATTGTGTCCGCCCAAGACCGTGCGATAGTGTTGGATGTGCAAAATTACATGATCAATAACAATCCCCCAAATGAAGTGAAGGTGATAATAGGTTCTGATCACTTGGTCATGCTCTCTAAACCTGTGGAGTTGTTCTTTCATCTCCAAAATATTGCTGAGAAATATGCATAAAAACATGAATGGACATGATTAATTCAGGCATGCTAGCCTGCGTTGCATGCACCATGGTACCAAATGCAAATGAATAAATGAGAGTTATTTTCAACTACCAAAAATTACGCGTCCATGAACTTTAGTTCAAGAGGCATGACGCACTACTATAAACATGGTCCCCGCGTTTAGCTCTGGCTTGTGGTGGCTTCTCATCTTTCAAATTTATGTTTTTTTTTATTTTTTTTTTAATTGTGTTGCCTAGCAACTATCCCCTTCTATTAAAAATCTATCCTATCTTTGTAAGGTATCTCTCTATTTAAAGGGCTCTATATGCCCTCAAAATACAGTGAATTGGTTAATTTTAAAAAATTAATCTAAGATGAGAATGTTGAGTAAATTTACGATTAATGACATTAAGCGAGTTTCGTTGCTCTTAATTGAGTGAATCCCAAGTTCGTATCTCTCGTCTCTTCAAGACCCTTGGTTTGTTCTTATCAAGTTTGATAGCTCAACAACTTAATTAACTACCGTATAATAATTCAAAAGGTATCACTTAATTTCATAGTAAGAAAATCAGAACAAAATAGTTCCTGTAAACAACGTTGGGTTAAGACAACTAAAGAACGGCATCTGCCCTAGACGGCTGTACGTAGGCGTTTAAACCAATAATAGTCATAGTATACAAACGTCACTACTGCCGCTCGACGGCATTTTATTATATAAATGGCGTTTATTTTGATCAAGCTAAACAAACTAGACGAAATCAAAGAATTATATATATATATATATATATATATATATATATATATATATATTATGTACTGTGTAAGATTAAAAATCTAATAAAGCCAAAGAATATAATGTTTGAAAAGAATACTACGGGCAACTTAGAGTGGGGAATATTGTTTTAGATTTCTAATGCTATCAATGCATCCACCAAAACCTGAATAATTTTCCATATTGAATGAGAAAAATAAATTGAGAATTTAGACAAAAGTCATCAACAACAACAACAACAACAAAGCCTTTTCCCACTAAGTGGGGTCGGCTATATGAATCCTAGAACGCCATTGCGCTCGGTTTTGTGTCATGTCCTCCGTTAGATCCAAGTACTCTAAGTCTTTTCTTAGAGTCTCTTCCAAAGTTTTCCTAGGTCTTCCTCTACCCCTTCGGCCCTGAACCTCTGTCCCGTAGTCACATCTTCGAACCGGAGCGTCAGTCGGCCTTCTTTGCACATGTCCAAATCACCAGAGCCGATTTTCTCTCATCTTTCCTACAATTTCGGCTACTCCTACTGTACCTCGGATTTCCTCATTCCCAATCTTAATCCTTTCTCGTGTGCCCACACATCCCACGAAGCATCCTCATCTCCGCTACACCCATTTTGTTTACGTGTTGATGCTTCACCACCCAACATTCTCTGCCATACAACATCGCTGGCCTTATTGCCGTCTTATAAAATTTTCCCTTGAGCTTCAGTGGCCTACGACGGTCACACAACACGCCGGATGCACTCTTTCCATCCAGCTCGTATTTCTATGGTTGAGATCTCCATCTAATTCTCCGTTCTCTTGCAAGATAGATCATAGGTAACGAAAACGGTCGCTTTTTGTGATCTTCGCTAGATTGCTCCGGTCATTAGTGTGTGGATAAGTATATAAATGGATAGAGATAGGAAAGCAAACACAAGATGTACGTGGTTCACCCAGATTGGCTACGTCCACGGAATAGAAGATTTCTCATTAATTGTGAAGGGTTTACACAAGTACATAGGTTCAAGCTCTCCTTTAGTGAGTACGAGTGAATGATTTAGTACAAATGACATTAGGAAATATTGTGGGAGAATGATCTCGTAATCACGAAACTTCTAAGTATCGGAGTGTGGTGTCGTCTTGACTTGCTTTATCTGTCTCATAGGTAGATGTGGCATCTTCTCTGGAAGTACTCTTCCTCCATCCAGGGGTGGTATCTTTAACTGGTGGAGATGCACAAGGTAATGTATCAATTTCACTTGAAGCTTACTTGTAGTTTCAGGCTTGGTCAAGCGCGATACAAACCATGTAGTAGGAGTCCCCCAAGTCGCCGAGCTAGGGGGTCTGCTGAAAGAGAGGTGACAGACAAGGTAAGCAATCAGAGCTCTGACTGATTGTTCACCTTCTCCCCATCTTGCAGCAGCATGAAGGATAAAGAGAAGAAAAATGAGAAGAGATGATATGAGATACTTTTGCTTTTGAAGAAGTAACTTTCCACAGGCTTATTCTTGAACTGAGCTGGAGGGTTTTCTGGTTTCCTCCAGAGTATAAGGCCGACTGAAGAATTTGAGGGTCAAAACAAGTCCATCAAATCTAGAGTACGTTCCACCCTGCTGATATATGGGATACTTTTGCTTTTGACAGAGTAATGGATGTATCGGCACGTGTGCTGTTACGCTTGTCTCCACATGCTTCCTTGTATCCTTCGCACTTGCCCTATCTGTTCCTCAAGCAGATGCGGAATCTTCCCTGGAAACATAAGATGTTGAAGATGAGTACTCGAGAGCAATGCCAGGTAAGTAATCAAGTAAGGGGTTCCAGGCAGTCAGTTCCTGGCTGGAAGCTTGATTCCAAGTGCTGACTGATTGCTCTCTTTCTCCTTGTCTTGCAGGTAAAAACAAGGCCAAAAGAAAAAACAGGGAAAAAGCATGATATGGGATACTCTTGCTTTTAACCCTGATGATATGAGATATTCTTGCTCTAGTATAGCTTGTTTGCAGAGGTATTATCGGGGGGAAAGAAAGCTGAATATTTCGAAAGGCTTTGTTGGGAGTGCCCTCTCAGATATGATGAAGGGTTGAGCATTTTTGCAGGTCTCTGCCTGTCCGTTGGGGATGGAGGTCGACATATATAGGAGTCTCCCTAACAACAAGTAGTAATGCTATTCCTTTACCCTGCTTGGTCATAGCACGGTAGTGGGAGCTGCCAGTTTCACATGTTTTTAACTCTGTCAGAGCACTTTGAAAAAAGTGGTCTGTGGTATCTGGCTCTCGAGATTCGGAGAACGATGCCTCTTCGATTTTTGAGAAAGCAATCATGTTGGGGGTCTGACTCTCGAGATTCGGAGAGCAGTGTCTCTTCGATTTTTGAGGAAGTAATCATGTTGGGAGTCTGGCTCTCGAGATTCGGAGGGCGGTGCCTCTTCGATTTTGGAGCAAGCAATCTTGTTGGGAGTGTTGTCTCGAATGTGAGTAAAGGTTGGACATGTTTGCTAGTCTACCTTGCCACGAAGCACAAAGGTTGACACATAGGGACTTTCCAATTATCCAGCAATGGTACTGTTCCTTTACCCTCTCTTCGATTTTTGAGAAAGTAGTCATGTTGGGAGTCTGGCTCTCGAGATTCGGAGGACGGTGCCTCTTCGATTTTGGAGCAAGCAATCTTGTTGGGACTGTTTTCTCGAATGTGAGTAAAGGTTGGGCATGTTTGCTAGTCTACCTTGCCACGAAGCACAGAGGTTGACACACAGGGACTTTCCAATTATCCAGCAGTGGTACTGTTCCTTTACCCTTGTGGGTAATAATATGGTAGCTAGACCTTCAAAATTTATGTGTCTAAACTTTGTTAGTGCTGTTTCTTTGCTATTCTTTTACCTTTCTTGGTCAGAGCGATGTAGTGGGAGCTGCAAGCTTCACGTGCTCAACTTTGGCAGAGAACTTTGGCAAAGTGATCTGTGGTACCCATGAGTTATTGTTGCGTGTGGGAAGTGGGTGATTGAACAGTAAGATTCATGTGCTTTCTACTTCACCAGAAGTCTTCGACAGAATGCCCATAATTTCTGCAAAGCTGAGTGTGCGTGTGACAGGTGCTGACAAGGCTAGAAAAGTAGGTGCCTCTTTGATTTCTGAGATCGGCCCTCGTGGTCTCTGAGCAGCCCAGCTTTTGAGAAAGCGAGCGCCTCTTCGATTGATTCGGAGAACAGTGCCTCACCGATTTTTGAGAAAGCAATCATGCTGGGGGTCTGGCTCTCGAGATTCGGGGAGCAGTGTCTCTTCGATTTTTGAGAAAGTAATCATGTTGGGAGAGTGGCTCTCGAGATTCGGAGGGCGGTGCCTCTTCGATTTTGGAGCAAGCAATCTTGTTGTTGGGAGTGTTTTCTCGAATGTGAGTAAAGGTTGGGCATGTTTGCTAGTCTACCTTGCCACGAAGCACAGAGGTTGACACACAGGGACTTTCCAATTATCCAGCAATGGTACTGTTCCTTTACCCTCTCTTCGATTTTTTAAGAAAGTAGTCATGTTGGGAGTCTGGCTCTTTAGATTCGGAGGACGGTGCCTCTTCGATTTTGGAGCAAGCAATCTTATTGGGAGTGTTTTCTCGAATGTGAGTAAAGGTTGGGCATGTTTGCTAGTCTACCTTGCCACGAAGCACAGAGGTTGACATACATGGACTTTCCAATTATCCAGCAGTGGTACTGTTCCTTTACCCGTGTGGGTAATAATATGGTAGCTAGACCTTCAAAATTTATGGGTCTAAACTTTGTTAGTGCTGTTTCTTTGCTATTCTTTTACCCTTCTTGGTCAGAGCGATGTAGTGGGAGCTGCAAGCTTCACGTGCTCAACTTTGGCAGAGAACTTTGGCAAAGTTATCTGTGGTACCCATGAGCTATTGTTGCGTGTGGGAAGTGGGTGATTGAACAGTAAGATTCATGTGTTTTCTACTTCCCCAGAAGTCTTTGACAGAATGCCCATAATTTCCGCAAAGCTGAGTGTGCGTGTGACAGGTGCTGACAAGGCTGGAAAAGTAGGTGCCTCTTCGATTTCTGAGATCGGCCCTCGTGGTCTCTAGGGAGCCCAGCTTTTGAGAAAGCGAGCGCCTCTTCGATTTCTGAGATCGGCCTTCGTGGTCTTTGAGCAGCCCAACTTTTGAGAAAGCAAACGGCTCTTCGATTTCTGAGATCAACCCTCGTGATCTCTAAGCAGCCCAACTTTTTGAGAAAGCAAACGCCTCTTCGATTTCTGAGCAGGCGCCTCTTTGATTTCTGAAGCTCCGTCGAGTGCAGATTTTTATAGGGGCTGGCATTAAGTTCCAAAGCACACTTGAATCTCCACCAGTAGAAGCTTCATTCTTGCACTTCTAAGATCTTGATTTGTCCGACCTCTTCTCTCTTCAACACCTTTGAAAATGTCTGGCCCCTCCGACCGTCGTTTTTGACTTGAACCTTGTTGTTGAAGAGGCAGCCCCGCCTTCTCCAGACAACATATGGCGCCCA